AAATTGTGTGCATGTACAAACAAAATATTATCAAATCATATTTTTTATTTCAAACACCATATTTAATAAGATAATCTCAAAAAACTGTTTCTCGTGGAAAGATTTTTTATCCTTGTACATGCTCAAATAGCGAGAACAATAGCAATTATAGATAACATTAACTAATACTAATATCTGTCCTGTCTTTGTTCTCCCTTATAATAAATTTTTGTACAAATGCGAATAAAAACTGATAAGCTTTTGCTTATACATGAAAATGCGTTATTTGTCCCTATTTTGCCAGAGTAAAATCAAAAGTCAATATTTGACATGTTAGCCACTGATATAGAAATCAAAACATAGTTTATGTTCCCAATATAAAGAATATTCTACGATGTTCCCCTTCTCATTTCCTAGTAATTTTTAAATTGAAAATAATTTTATGACACAAAATGTTTCTAAACAGTTTTGTAAATTGTTCAACCCAAAAGGGTATTATTCAATTATAATTTATTAGTCAGAATACAAAGGAACCTGTTAATAAACGAACGTGGAAAAAATGGTTTGTGGTCTATGAGATGTCATTGTGAGTGTTTACATTTTTGGACTTCGACTACGTCTCAGAGTTTAGTCGATCGACTTTGTATTTTCAACGTAACCCATCACAAACTTTTTTCCGTCAGATTTATCAACCCTTAATATGTATGCCGATTCATCATAGCTACCCTCCTACCCAAACTACCATATCCTTTCTTATCCAAATTCCGTACCTCTTCTATAATCTGTAATTCTGCTTTCCCAACCCTTTCATTGGCTAAATGCGAAGGCAAAGCCATTAATATTAAAAAAAACTTCATCGTGTGAAGTTATAAAAATAAGTATTAATAATATTTGTTACTAAATTTCCTCTAACTTTGATTTAACAATGGTTTAAAACTATGATAATTGAATTATGTTAATTAGTGTTTAGAAAAATATAATTTGTTAGACGCTGTTACAAATTTACGTCGTCCTAATTTTGCCGGCCTGTCTTTCTAATCAGGCTAAATTGTACCACATGGACCAATAACTCAAGAGGATTGTTAATCGCGATACAAGATGGTGTGGTCGGGTATTTAATACCTATTGGTACACCTGCAGCTTGATTTTGATTGCCCCCTCCGATCGGAAACTGCGTCTTTTCCGAGTCGAGCTACCAAATAGCTATTTTTGTAATTAATTTGTTTTATCGAGTTCTTAGGTTTTCGCGATTGTTACACATAGGAAATGAAACTATTTTTCCGGATTTAAATCGCGTATCGGTTGACTGAGGTGGTACAGACTGTACCACCTCAGTCAACCGTGACCATGGGACCTGTAAAGGGCCCGAAACGTCGGTTTGTTTGAAAAAACAAATATACGCGATTTAAATCCGGAAAAATAGTTTCATTTCCTATAATTTGTTTTACATTGACAAGCTGCAATTTATCAAAGCTGCCTTAATTTCCAGTGATAATCTTCTTAATTAATCTTATTGCACAGATTTTTATGGATAGTGCCGGCTATTATTTTATTTTATTTAGGATTAGCGCCATGTATTATATTAGGAAGCGTTAATTTATATATTAGTTCATCTTTTGACACGCATATTTAATTTGTCAAAGTTCAGAAAATAATTTTAACTCCTGATCAATGTTTGAATAATATTATAAGGAAAAAACTGATTATTTATATTTTATGTTAAAGAGGTATTAATTGATATACACGGCCATTTAAATAATATAAAACTACTCCCAGGCTATTAATCAGCGCCATCTGGATATAAAACAGAATTTTGACTTTGTCAGAGCTACGATCTGTAGTATGGACGTTGAAAAATATTAAGTTAGCGAGTCATCACACTTATCCACACGGATTCGCATTAAGTCAGTCAGAAAAATCTTCATGTCCACGTAATAAGAGCGAAGATGACGCTGTGCGTTTCGTTCGGCAAACCGAGCGTAAGCAAAACGCGCGACGTCTATTTTCGCTCTTATTGCAAGGACATGAAGGTTTTTCTGCTTAATGCGAATACTAACAAATATTATTAAAAGCGTACGAAAAAGTTAGAAAAAGATTCCTGAAGATTCCAATAAAAACTTTTTTTTTATTGGATTTTATTGATTTGGTTTCTTCCGGTGCTTAGTCGGAAGGTATTCAAGCACTTGGTTAGTAATAATTTTTTTCTCAAATGAAAAAAATTCACATGGTTTAAATTAAACACGGCACGGTTTTCATCGAGCGCGGCGGTGCAAAAACCCGTTATTGCAATTTGTATGTCCAACCAAACGGGACGCGTCGGGACGACCCATTTTAGATAGCGTGTACTAAATTGTACAATCACCAAAAAGGCCTCTAGGATAAGCGTATCCATCCGCCTTGTGGCATACAAAGTTTAACAATTTTTACGTAGATGTTCATGCAATCATTTGTACAATACACTTGTGATCAATCACAAATAATCAAACAATCATCATCATCAACCAATTTACTCGTCCAAATGCTGGGCACGGTTCTCCTTTCAGGCAAGGGGTTAGGCCATAGTCCACCACGCTGGCCCAATGCGGGTTGGGGGGACCAGACGTTTTTCAAGGGTTGTGAACCTTTTTCGAGGTGCAGATTTCTTTACAGTGTATTCCTTCGCCGAAAACTTATGGTAAATTTCATATGAAGTTTCGCACATAAATTCCGAAAAACTAGCCCACCTAACTTAGGCTTCTGTTTGAGGGGCGGTATGTCAAACAATTAGGCTACCCCGGATTTTTAAAACAATTATAGATTATTGTAATAATAAGTTTCATAACTAGCCTATCTAGTTTAAAAAAGATAATCTCAGTACAGAGTACTACAAAAACCGACCCCAAAAGTACGTGGAATTACATATAATTACCAAGTTTTATTGAAATCGGTTACCGGAAAGAGCGCAAACCCGGATTCATCCTCTAGTTCGCCACTATTCGGGACTTAACCCAGGAGATAATAAAAATTCGTTGTCACTGCTGAAAGTGTATTGAGAGAGAAAAACGCCTTGAATTGGAGAACAGCAAAATCAACCGTTAAAATAATTAATACTTATAATAAAATTTAGGCACTATTTATAAAAGTGTATCTTCATGCGCGAACAGCTTCCCTTAGAAGTGGATGATTTTCTTCAAAATTAAATGGAACCACTATGGAGGTACCCTCTTTCCAACAAAAAAATAATCATGAAAATAGGTTCACAGATACCGGAGTTATCGAGTAACATACATACAAAAAAAACATACAGTTGAATTAAGAACCTCCTCCTTTTTTGAAGTCGGTTAAAAATTAAAAACAAATGTCTTCTATGAAAAAAATCTTTTTAGAAATCTCCAATAAAATAGAATGTCATATAATTAGGCTAATTAAATAATGATATCTTAAATTCTACGCATTATTGCAATTCCTAATTTCACTCGGATGTTAATTAGTAGCAATTCGAGGCACAGGCGTTTTTACTTTATTTGCTACTAAATTCAATTAGAATTAAGCACTCGATTCGCTTAATACGAGGTCCACACGACTGTACTCGATAATCGACAAATTGAGGTCTTCATGGATTGAGACTTGACATCTTATCATCTTACAATTACGAGTCAGAATAAGGTATTATAATATTGATTGTAGATTTTTCTAAAACGAGCCGAGAATTAAACTGCCGAAAGTATCAAAATATTTCGAATTGGTAATTGTCTATTCTCTTCATTGACTTACAAATAAATGGACGACGGGTCTAATACAAAAACCACGAAAAAAATGTCCCAAGTCAACCTATTCGAAATTTAAATTGTTATGTCATCGCAGTATCGCGCTGTCCGTAGAACAAATGAAGACTAAAGCGGAGTGTCGCGCTCTGTATACGATTTTAGCGCCTTACAAGTGCGGACACTTTTTAGCGCGGACCCGACGTCCATATAATTGTAAGTCAATGATTCTCTTAATAAAAATATTGATCTCTTTTAATCGGCATTGTAAGCGGATCCCAATTTTGTGGATACTTTTTCTTGAATGTCTTCTTTAATTTTTCTCATTCAAAACAATTTATTTCAAATCAAACTATGACGAGTGATTTGTAGTATGTATAGTTTCATTTTTCATTTAAATAGTACAAAATTTCGTTTTTCGTTATTCTGTACACGTAACTGCACGCGATGGTACATTGACCGCATTGTAGATTGCAACGGAATGCTT